TTAGAGACTATAAAGACTATTTAGGACGACAGAAACAAACTTCGCGGATCTTGTCGACAGCCTTTACATTCCAACTTATGGCTCAAAATAGACAGGAGGTATCGCATTGTCACGCTTTTGAAAGCAATTACTGAGGTGGGGCTCTCTGAAGAATGTGGGTATTATTGTATCTTTTATGTATTTCAAGTGTTCGTGTATGTTTTTAAAATGCATTATTTAATTATTTATTTTTTCACGTTATTTGTCGACGAGCTGATACCGAGAATTTGTTTCAGCGCTTGTGCCGAAAAGACAACAGCATTTGGCAACGTATTTTGATTAGCGAAATGGATCGACGAGCAGTATAATACATAAGTGTCAGACAAACATTTTTAAAAAAAATTCATAAAATTAAGGTATCCGTACACACTTTCGAAGAAAATTTTTTTAAAAACTGTAATATTTGCTATTAAAATATTTTTTACTGATGAAATATAACTTAAAACTATGAAAAATATTTTAATATGTTACTTGTAGTACATAAAAAAATTTTAGGGAGTAAAGCATAGTGTAAATAGTAATTAAATTGATTAATAGAATAACGCACATAACTCAAATGTAAACAAAAATATCCCTTTTCTGTAAATTTGATGATGATCATTATAATATTTTTTAGGGCTGGTACTATTTTCCTGAAGATAATCAATTTATTACAATTTTTATCAAGTTTCGAGTAAAAGAACATTGAAAAATCATTAAAAAATTATTACGAGCATGATATATACCTTAGTTACTAAAAACATATCAACTATATAATTATGAAAGTAGTAGGGGTTCTTTAAATCTATAAAACAAATATATTTATAAAATTTGAACTAATTTGGTTCACAACTTTTTCTGATATTTACGTTGTCAGATGTCAATACGTTAAACAAATTCATTTTGAGATAAATCAGAAATAAACTTTGAACTGCAAATTTTAATATTAAACACAATTTGATATACTTAAAATGCTCCTGATTTATAAATAACACCTTCTTTACTCTCTAAAACATTGATTTTTTTCCTTGTAGCTCTTAAAATTTTTCTACGCTGCTTTACATTTGGTGTTGAATGTCGTTCTACGTCGTTAATTCTATTGATGTCAAGATGTCTGTATGCTTTTAAAGTAAAATAACCAGGAGTTATATTAAGTTTTTTAAAAATTTCAACACAACCCTTGTATCCATCATTAAATTGGATCACAGCATCCAATGCACCAGATTTTAAAATTTTGAGGCACACAAAAACTTCCTTGGGTACTCTCTGCCATATAACGCCATTTAAACACTCGTTTGAATTTTTTGTGTTTTGCCATGCAGGCATTTAGTAAGCAGTTCTTTGGTACACAACTCTAAATATGTAGGCTTAATCGTGTTTAGTACTTCATTTGATAAGCCTTTATATTTTTCGTTTGGCTTTTTGCCACAAGACAGTGCTCGCTGGTAGTAGCACCAACTATCTTTTCCGATGGGACACTGCCCATGCATCGGTTTCTCGACACTTGATGAGCAATGAAACAAAGCCGCAATAACATTTTGCTGAAGACCGGATAGGTTTCCAACATTGCTACGAACAGCAATCCCATAATAGTTTTGCAATCGGTCAATAAAAGAGTCGGTGAGTTTGCCTTTACCAGACAGATTTTTATTTTTAGACTTTAGTTTGCGCAATCTCGCACCTACTCTCTTTTGAACATGACCAATGCATTCATATTTTGTGACGCTATCCTTCCCATAAGTATCTTTGACACTGATAAAGCCCTTAGAGTCCCCGTCACCATAATAATGTGCATATTTAAGGCCTCGTTTGACAATAGAACGTTGGAAGATTCTCGTAGCACCAACAGCTTCCATTTTTAACGCAGAACCTTGAAAATTGCTATGGCACACATGATCTGCTGCAAAGTTTCCGACTCAATGCTTCTAGGCATTTTAGAAATATTTCTGCAGGTGGGACAATATGACGACATTATTTCAATGTCTACTACTTTACCAGTGTCAACTGACAAAGCTGCGACACACCCATTCATGGAAGAGTAACCTCTACGCTGCCACATTCCATCAACTGAAATGCCACATTCAACAATTTTATTTTTAGTAGGATGTAGCACTAACAGTTCTCTCAGAAGCTGCTTTTTGCATTGATAGTTCACTAACTTCTGAAATCACGGACATGAGTTTATTCTCATGATTAGTGTACGCAGTTTTACTGAGCCTGGGTAAATTTAACGTACCACATAATTTAAACCCAGCAGAAAAACCTTTCCCAATTTGTCTCATACCATACACAAATCTTGTATTTACTTCAGGACAGTTTAAAGTTTTCTTTGAACTAGAAAACCCTGAGTAAAAGTCACAATGTTTACACCTGATAACAAAATTTGAGCACAAACCATATGTGGAATCCTCAGAAAGCAGGATACCTTCTTCGAAACATCTTGGGCAGCAAAGTTGTAAAACAAATTTAAAAGAGGACTTCCATATCAATTATTCTGTTACCAGTAAGTGGTTTACGTTGATATTCTGCTATTTCTTCATCAAAGACAGGAGGTATTTTAATTTTTGAAGAAATGGCGTTGGTAGATGTTGCGCTGCTATTTTTTTGAATGTTTAATGGTAGATCCATTACCTCTAAATTGGCGTTTTCTCTTTGCACTAACTCTACGTTTAGCATTACCCATTTTAAATGACAAAAATTAAAATTTTCTGCTATAAAAAAGGATTAAACAAAAGCTTATAAAGAGCTACGCAATCATAAGCAAATGTAAACAAACAGTAAAGCACTCTATTTTCTTGCCAGATTCTAGATAAAAATATAAATAAAAGCCTGTTGCCAATTATATTCTTGATAATTCTGAAAACTCAAATTCATATTTTAAAAAGTTCAAATTTCTTACTATTGCATATTTAAACGATACTTTGAAAAATAAAAATGTCAACAAACATTTTTTCTACTTCGCAATGCAGACTTGTACTTCTCTCCGGGTTCAAAAAGGTGCTATCGAATGAAACTCAAATACCCATAACTTAAGTTCTAAATAAGATAGAAACAAAATTTAAACACCATTTTAAAGAAAAAGGTTCATATTTTCAAATAACATTTAAATTAAAAAATCGAAAAATTTGACGAAAATGACGTTTTGAAGGTGTACGGATACCTTAAATGTAATAACTATGTATTTTTCGATATTTTGATAAAAGATACAAGGGGGAATTTTAATTATTAATTAAACTAAGAAAAATATGAAAATCTTTTTCGCTAAATTTCTACAAAAAGCCTCGATTGATAAATTAAATCTATTTGTGAATTAGTCTGTATAAATGTAATACATACCAGTTTGTAACTACTTAAAAAAAAGTTGTATTAATATTTCTCCAATACTTTATTCCTTGTTGCTTAACAGTGGATAAAAATGACACGTCCATTCGAAATGCAGTGTTACTAAACAATTCACCCTACTCCATCGAAAGCACATCACTTGGAAAAGTACCTTTTGAGGATTGTTTTCAATTCTTGGTCAGGTGACAAAACTTCAGCTTTACTTCCATTTGATACAAACCCGAGCATTTTTCCCCCGAACCACAGCCCTCTACACCAGGACCTTTTTTATCGCCACGGACAAGTCAACGTTGGATCTTTTGACCTCGGCCGACTGAGACACGTAATTGTTTAGAGTTTGTATTGTCTTGATTTAATAAGTTGAATTTAATATTATGTAAATATGCTTTCAGAATAAAAAAAATAGCACAGTAAATAAAATGGAAATAATTTAATGTTCCTTGTACTACCCAGTACCATTGGAACGAAGAAGCAGTACCGGTTCGCGGCCCGGAGGTTGAGGATCACTGCTCTACACGATAGGACTTGAATGGCTCGACAAAAAATCGAGTTCGAAACCATGACTACATGGCTACCGTAGCCGCACCAATATTTTTTTAAAAATGAAAAATGCAAAAAAATTTTGGAAATGCAAAAGGCACAATATAATTTTACATAACGATTTCTAAATTAAAATGAAATAAATCATATTGTATGACTCTTTATTTGATAGTATATATATATAATGCTCAGTTTTAACTGAATTTTTGTTAATTCTTTTTGTTCACTATTATCCGAGATTGAAAAAAAATATTTTTTCATGGAGAAAAAGACATTTCAAAGGATTTGGTCTTGGCTAAATCTATACATAAAATTGGCGTCCTGGTGGCGAAGAAAAAGATGTAAGAATGCAAAAAATATCTTTAAATATATTATTCTTGTAGTTTTGAAAGCGATCTAATGTTTTGTTATTTGAGTTAATGATACTCAATTAAAATTGCATTAAAGCTCAGTTTGTCAAAATGTACTCTTTTTATTTCGATCAACCTTACACTTGTGTCATAAAATGAAAAATTATCTTGAAAAACTCGAGAAATATTTTTGTGAACTAAAGCAACACCTAACAGGATCTGCACAGATACTTTTGTGAAAATATCTGTACCGATTGTATTGATATCAAGAATCACGTTCCTTTATTTGTATCCATTAAGTAAAAAATAGAACCTTTTTCCAACAGATACAATGAAGATATTCTTGAAAATAAAAATTATCTAAGGCACAATTGGAGCTCCTATTCCTTGAATTCGGTTCCAATGAAATAAAGGAATGTTACTGGAATTAACTTCAAGGGCTGTTGGGTGATGACATCCCTTCTCTAAATTTCTCTAGTCTGCCAACGGATGATAGATCTTTAATGATATCGAACCTACAACAACTTGGATTAATTATCAACAAGTAATAACAAACAAATAAATTTTTATTAAAGTAATACAAATATGTATATACATAGCATAGAATCCCACTATTAAGTGGCAAAATAAAAAGCTATTTTCCTTTCTATAAAGGGTTATTTTTGTTTGTTACTATTTATTCATTAACCAAATTGAATTATTCTAATAAAATAGTATAGTAAAAAAGAAATTACACATTCTCAGTCATTAGGTCCTTCCAGATGGGATTCGAACCCACAACCTTTGGATTAGAAGTTCAACACGCGCTATTCATTGCGCACAAGGACTCAACGAACCATTTCCCTTTGTATACATGCTGTTGGACCATTACTTTTGTTTGTTACTATTTATTCATTCTTTAATTTAATTAATCAACTAATATTTGAAAAATGCATTAACATAAAGTGTCATCCACTACAAGTTTAAGAAAAATTATTTCAACTTAAATGGATGAATAGAATGTATTTTATTAAAAATTGAAAATTTGAACAAGATATATATATGTGTGTGTGTTTTATTTGTAATATTCCTTCCTTTCCCTATGGCCCAGAGTATAGACAAATTACAGGTGAAAGTTGGAGTAAAGTTTACATCATTTGAATAAACACGCATTGATTTTAGCGAAACAAATTTATTAGTTTAACAATTACTCAAAACATATACACCTTACAACATAAAAACGAGACACACTTTCTATAAGTTGGGTGGGCGGATCACAAGTCTAACCGAGTTCTACCACTCCGCGCAGCTCGTTTTGCGCGGTTGATGTATTTCCCTTTTGGATAATCCCCAAGGGATTATTTGACGGCCGATCTGGCACATGATGATTAGAGGAGTCTTACTCTCTGTTAGCTAGCCCCAAAACTTGTTTGAAACCTGCCATTTTAGTTTCTAAGGTCAGGAGTTTACTATTGTACTACTGTGGCCAATATTTCCTAGTGACTTGACAAGTTCCACTTCGGTTTTACAGCTATTTGTACATTATTTACATAAAGAGGAAAGGACCCCCAAACATGTTCCAACCCCCTTTTATATAAATTATTTTCTATATTAGCTGTCCTAAGTCAGCAATGTTTATAATACTGCAGCATCCATTTTATAATTGTCGCTTGCTCCTGTTTCCTTCATTGTCCCTACTGTGTATGTGATTTTCGAATGGGATTGTTCTCAATGTTTACATATTTTGTGGCTGCATTGCGCCTCTGTATGTTAGGTCTTTTGAAGAGTCAAATATTTTTATCTGTTCAATTTTGGACTATTTGTTCATTAGAATGCTTTCCTTTTTCTCATTTCGATATGGAATTCCAGACTTTGGTTTTTTAAATGGCATTAATGCACTTAAAAAAGAAATTTATTAATTTAATTACTGTTAATATTTATAGGCTTCTTAGCGTTATTAATGTGTAATTAGAATATTCATACTTTGATTACTATAGGAGTGATAATATTGTAGCTTTTATGTAATTCATGTTTCATTGGGTGTATTGTTTTTATTATACTTTTATGATGTGTAGGTGTAAAAATGTTATTTCTATGGTAAGTATATATATGTATAATTCATTTCAATTTGTAAACATAGTTTTCTATGTTATGTGTATAATTAGTACTTTTCCAAGAAATATGTGTTATTCCAGTTTTATATTTCAATTGCTTAATTTTCAATATTTATCAAAAAATTTATTAAAATTATTAAAATATATTTATTAAAATTTTATTTTATATTACATTTTATATTTCAATTTTTACATGTTTCAATATATTTTATTAGTAGTGCTTCCAAGTTTATTACATTATTTTAATTTTTTGTAAACATATGGAAGTACATTTTTATGGTATAAATTTTAGATGTTATTTCATTATAACTATAGTGAATCTTTTGCTATAGATATTAAGTTCTAATTACTAGATACTTAAAAATTCTACACTAATATGAATAATTTTAAATTTATAAATTTCGAGCTGGCAACTAGTCTCAGGAAATATACTCTGTCTTTGCTCGGTGGTACATTATAATGGTATATGTAGCATCGATAGAAAATAACCATTAACTCTTATGATTTTGCTATATTAGTAGGCTAATTAATTAGTTTATATTTTTTAGCAATTTATATTCTAATAATTGGTAATATATTATAATCTGTTAAGTTAGTTTTTAACAGTATATACTACAGCAGTGCTTCTCAAAGTGTGGGGCGCTCCCCCTGGGGGGCGCGAGCATATCGAAAATTTAAAGATTTAAAAAAATAACCGGAAAGAAGTAAAACAAAATACTTTCTTCCATAATAAAAAAAATACACTGCACTGATATAGTTTATGTTTGTCGTCTGGCGTTTTTCCGTCATCAAATAGCTATCTTTGATCCCAAAACCAAATTAAAGAGAAAAAAAACGTTTTGTTTAATTTGCTGTATTTCCTCAATCAGAGATTTTTTTTATTATGTTTTCTTTTTAAACATAACATATTACTCGTTAAAAGAAAAAAATGAAACCCAGACCATGAGAAAAATTCTAAGATAAACAATTAATCACTGTAATTATTATTGAAATACTGTACATTAGTTGTAGAAAGAAAAGGAAAACATGATTCACTTTTCAGCCAGGCAGTATAATACACTGGCCTCAAAAAGTTAAGGTACAACATGTTTTTCGAAGCTCACCATAAAAAAAATGGCAGTAACAATAAAATGCATAGTTTACATGAATGGTAATAACGAACTTTAAAAACATTAATGCAAAAACGATTGCTACCGCTTTTATTTTACAGAAAAGAACGTATATTTATGAGTGAGAGAAAAATATGCAAATATCAAGCTTTCGTACTTTTGTGTGTAAGTTGTGTTGATTTTCAACAGTTGTTGGCAGTTTCGGTGACAATAGTCAATAGAGTTTAGAAAATGTCTCAGAGACGTCGTTTACCCAATTCGTTAAGGTGGCGGGCAGTTGGATGGATGGAAATGGGATTGTCGCAGGCTGATGTTGCTAGACGTCTCAATGTGTCTCGTAGTGTTGTTCAGCGACTTTGGGATCAATACCAATCCGAAGATTCTGTGTCCAGAAGACCTGTTCCAGGCCGACCACGAGCTACAACACCTGCAGAAGACCGTTTTCTAGCACTTTCGGCACGAAGGAGAAGAACCACTACTGTGCCGCAGCTCGTTGCAGACCACTTTCAAGCATCAGGAAGAAGAATCTCCGCTACTACGGTGCGAAATCGTCTTCACAATGCAGGTCTGTATGCAAGAAGACCAGTTGTGTGCGTTCCCCTCAACGGACGACAGCGAAGGAACCGCTTATACTGGGCAAGAGAGAACATGTTTCTTGGACGCAGCAACAATGGGCTTCTGTGCTGTTCACAGACGAGTCCAGATTTACAATGGAGAGTGATTCAGGGCGTCTACTGATCTGGAGGGAACAGCGCACTAGATACCATCAATCCAACACTGTTGAAATACACAGTTATAGAGGTGGTGGAATCCTAATTTGGGCAGGGATCTCGCTCGGTGGCCACACTGACCTGCATGTGTTCCATGGAGGAACCGTAACTGGTCTTAGATATCGGGATGAGATCATTGATCCATATGTCCGCCCATATGCTGCTGCTATTGGTAATGACTTCATTCTGATGTATGATAATGCACGACCTCACCGAGCTCGGATTGTTAAGGAGTATCTGGAGGATCACGGTTTGGAACGAATGGGATGGCCAGCTCGATCTCCAGACCTGAATCCGATAGAACATCTTTGGGACTATCTTGGCAGAGAGGTTGCTGCTTTAAATCCTCCTTCAAGGTCGTTACATGAGCTGAAACAAGGCTTACTCTGTGTCTGATTTTCGCTTCCTATTCCGGTGTCCGACAACTTAATAAACAGCATTTGAAATCGATGCCGCCAATGCATTCAAGTTAGCGGTGGACACATTCCTTATTAGAACCCATTTTTGTATTGTTTTTATGCCATTTTACCACATAACACTGTGATGTGCTGTTTGCTCCAAGAATGGACTTTTCCGCAGAGATTGCTTTTTTGTTATAAATCGTTTTTGCAATACACTTATACAAATTTCTATGACGCATTCAATAAAAAAAACTATTTAATGCACATATACTCCAAATTTTTTGTTTCTACATTCATTCATTTGCAAATTAGACACAAAAACCCGGTTGTACCTTAACTTTTTGAGGCCAGTGTACATTTGCTGATCATTTGATTGATCTTCAAACTTACTAGTATGGTTAGTTCTACATTAGTTCCATCCCATATTTTATGTGTTTGTTTTTCACTTAGGGAAATTGTAACTAACAAAGAGTTTTACAATATTTGGAAAATAATTGATTGATTTGAAGGATTATTTGGCCAAGATTTATTTTATGAGTATTCTCAAACATATAAAGCATAGTGAAAAAAAAAGAATAGTCAGGAGACTCTCACTTATCAAGGCCCATCCCCATCAAGCCACATCTAACATTTTCGATATGGGATGGAGGAACGCTTCGCGTTCCATTTCTCAGTGTGGACCAGCTACCATAATGCTTTTTAGAACATTCGTATTTTTTTCTGAATACAATACACTTTTAACTAGGGAGTGGTGGCGTGGGGCATCTGTGATCTCTATTGAAGGAAGTTGAAACTGATCAAGCATAAGAAGAACCTGCCGAAAGAATGCGGATTATTCATGATTGAGAAACACGATGAACATGAAACGAAAGTAAAATTTTCAAATGCTTCCCAAAGAACTCCAGCAACTAAAATATTAAGCCATAAGTGTACCACAAAGTTCAGTTTGCCTTGTCAAAAAGACACAAGAAAGAAAAAGTTCAACTTGTTACATGTTGATCACCATAGGTGTCACGAGTTCGAGCCCAGTGCCACTAAAGACCCGCCGTGTAGGGAGAGAAGCACGTTAAATCTGTCGAAAGCTCGAACGTCCTCTTGTTGGAGTGGTGTGGTAGTTAAAAGAGGCTAGCTCAAATATCGTCCTCGTCACTTGACCATGGTTCAAAATTACGAGGTCCGTCTCCAAAAGTCTTCGTGTAGCTAAACAGTGCGACGTTAATATTTACTTACTCGATCATCAAAGCTCATTAAAACGTCAATAACTTGAACAAAATATGACAGCTTTGCCAGCAAATAACATTTTTGTAATATTTGTGAAAAGTGTCTCTGATTTGCGTCCTTTATTAAGGTCTAGAACTTTTGAATCATTTTAGTTCAGTTTCATTGAATTTTTTCTCAAATTATCAAAGAAAAATTGAATAGCCCTTGAAAGCTGGTAAGTATACTTTCTCTTA